CGTTCATGGCCAAGAATCAACGAACTCTATCAGTAGACTTTGGGTGTGGCCCTGGTGAAAGCGTCCCATTTTGATGACTTGCATGTGCCCCTCTTTGTTGAGGGTGCTTTGAGGCAGCTTCTGCCGCCGGCCCAGCCTGTGGCCCTGTACTCCTCTTTTGCACCATCCTAATTTCAACATTCAGATGTTAATTCAGAAAATTATGACGTCATTCTCTCCAATGACTTGAAACAGAAAATGCCCTCTTCTGTCTCGCTGAAGAGCTGATGGCATTGGGCCTGTCAAGTCACACTTCTTTTCCCAGTCCGAGACCAAATGGCGTATTTTCAAACCACTGTCTAAATTGCATGGCACACACCCCAGGAGCCCAAGGCTCTGCTTGCTCTCCTGAGGTGCAGAAAGGAGACCCCACAGGTGGCGGAGGGGGGACGGAGGGTGAAGCGTCAAAATGTCAAAATCTGTTTTCCACGAGGTCAGTGGCAGGTGTCTCCCGGTCAGGAGAGGGCATGGAAGTGGCTGCAGGTCTGGACCTCTCTAGGTGGATGTGAGGCAGGGCGCCTGAACTGGAGGAGGGGCTGGCTTGAGGCCTTCATGTTCTATGTTGGGGTTGGGATATTGAGGGTCCCCCTCACGGGGATGAGGAGGGGGCATAGATGCAGGTATGCCCGGGCACCTGAGTCCCAGCCGAAGTGGCAAAGCCAGACCTCCTGGGATTTCTTGGGTTTGGACAAAGGGTGTCCCCATGATGATGAAGATCAGGAGCAGAGAGCCCTGCGTCTTGCCTGGGGCCCCTGTCCTGGGCACAGGAGGGAGACCCCCATAACCACGGAGACCGCACTAGACGGCGCTCACAGTGGGTTTCAGTTTGATTGAGAGAAAATAAGGTTAGGGACGCTTGCTCACCTGAGCCTCTGGAGTAAGAGTCACACCTTGGAGGAGGGCAGACAAAGGCCACATGGAAATTGGGGGTTCAAGGCTTGCCCAGCTAGCCCCAAAGGTATGGGGTCCACATGGCCTCATCCAGGGGCCAGCTTGCTCATTTGAGGGTGTGCAGGGTACATGAGTGTCTGCCCCAGGAACCCAGGAAGCCCCAGCGCTCCTGCCTTGCTTCCCTGGAGCGAGCCCAGGTACCACGGTCCTAGCGGAATGAATGCATGAATGATGTGGAACAGGTCTGCAGACAGGATGCCTTCCCTGACGTGAGCAAGGACCCCAAGGAACCTCCCCTCTGGAGCCTCTGCAGTGTACACTGAGGCATGTACACTGCCCAGCTGTGTGGCAAGAGAGCCCTCCCCAGGCACGGAGCGGGCCCGCCAGCCCTGAGGACTGCAGGACAACAGAGCCAGGCCTGCCTGAGGCACCTCCCCTGAAAAGTGTGGCTCGCTGAGTGGCACGTGTGTCCCCTTGGCCGGCGTGGGTAACTACACAGTTGTCATTTACAGAAGTAGGCATAGCAGAGGCGAACATGAGCACGATGCTGTCTGTCTGGGCTGTACCCCGAGAACCAGCTGCTGGACAGGTTGGAAGGGCCCTTCCTGGAGGGACAGGTCCAGTTGGCGGCCTAAGGTGGGGTCATGGTGGGCCTTGTCCCCCTGACCCGTGGAGGTGGGATCATCCGTCTTGGGGAGCTGTCTGGTCCAGTCCTGTTGCCTTGGAGGTGGTGACGTCAGGGGCCCCTGAGCCACCAGGCCCCTCCGTCTTCACTCAGCCTCCACAGCTGTTGCAGATTCCACGGTAAGAGCCAGGGCGTCGCTTCCAGGCAGGATGGGGAAGCACCTCCTACCCCCACGTGGACAAAGATTTCTTTAAACAGAGCCACCAGCCATGCCTGGTAGTGGGTTGCCTCCTCAGGCAGGCAGCACTAGCTCTGCTGTGTTTCCTGGGAGAAGCCCGTCACTCCTCCTAGGACCTGGCCCATGGCACCTGCCCAGCCAGCCTTGGGAGGGGCACCCCGGGCATGTGGAGAGGAGGTGATGAGGCTCTCAGATGTCCAAGCCAAGGCCAGGTAGGTGGCAGGTGAGACGGGTCCCTCAGACATGAGACCCCCAGTGATGTAGATAAGATGACTCGTGCTGTCCCCCAGCCCCCAGCAGGCAAAAGGGGAAGAGCCACAGGAAACAACAGAAAAAGCTGGAAACCCCAGAGGGCGTTGGTGAGGGGCTGCAGCTCTGTGCCCTCTGTGCTCCGGAGAACCAGGAGGCCCACTCCATGGGCCCACCCGCCTTTGCCCATCCCACCCCCCATCCCTGCTTTGAGGTTCCAAGAGCTTGGCAGAGCGGCCTGAATTCTCCCTAACTCCCACCCCAGCAAGGTCAAATTCACCTTGTTTGCCTCTTTAAAAAAACTCACAAATGCAAGACTGAGGCTTTTCCTGAAACCGGAGCCCCACAGCTAAGGCTCAATAAAATACTGTTTCCCCGCACCGGGGCCAGAGCGAGGCTCCCAGGTGCTGAGTTAATGGGTCCTTTCCCGCGTGAGACCCTGCCAGCACTCAATTCTCCCATCACACTCCATCGCTGGCTGCTGGGGCCTGGGGCTGCCCTTCCTCTGAGCAGCCCACCCTGCTGCCCACCCGCAGCCCCCACGAAGCTCTCCTTTGCACCCTCCCCTCCCCATTCTCGGAACGCAGGAGAAGCCGGGCCTGCAGGCTGACCTTGGGCGGCCTCAGGGCCCTCTCTGCCAGCACCGGAGCCTGCCTCGCTCTGACCCAGCAGTCCCACTGGACCTTCTAGAGGCACTGCACAGTGTGCGGTTGTTGTCAGTACAGCTTTATTTGCTGTGGAATCCATGAAAGCCGGAAGCATTGTTGGGGCTGTGGCTAGCACGGCTCAGCCCAGTCCTGGACCCCACCAATGGGTGATTACATTTAAAGAACCGAACGAAACAGAATGCCAAGAACAAATCCCTTGCCATGGACGTCAGTCGTCTCTTGGTTAATGGTAGAAATTTGATGAAAAATTCCCCTAAACCGTGACAAACACTGTCCTCCTTACCCCAAAAGTGGTGGAGGAAAGATGGTTGCATGAGCTGATCTGTCTTTGAACTTGGAATGCTACCTTCCTACCTGGAAATGCAACGCGATATACTTAAAAGGCCAGATGGCTGCAGGCTGTCTGCACCCGTGGCTCTGCCCAGGGACACTCATCTCCTGGTTCTAACGCTCAGACCCAGGAGACCAGAGTCCAAAGCCCGAGGGAGCTTCAAGTCCGAGGGGTAGGACCCGCAGGGCCCACAAGCCCCTCCTGATGGGAGAGCTTTGCACGTGCATTCACGCACACACACACCTGGCAGGATGGCTGAGCGTGGGTCTCGTGGCTGATTTTTCTTCGCGGCAGGAGTGGGCAGAATGGGGTGCATTTCACAGAAGAGTCACATAGAAGCTGGCCCTTGGCAGAGGACACACGGCTGGGTAGGTGTGTGGAACGGAGCGCAGGTTTGCTGACTCTGAACCAGGGGACAGGTCTCAGTCCCTCCCCTTCATGATGCATGTGGCTGATGGCTGAGGTCAGCGGTCTCTTCCCTGAGTGGCAAGTATGTTCCCTGGGACTTCATAAATCATCCTCGGGACAGTTTTACACTCAGTCCCCACTGCAGTCCCAGGAGGTGGCCCAGGCAGGCAGGCGGCGTTGTTCTCATGTTACAGGTGAGGAAACTGAGGCTGGGGGAGGCAGAAGGCCACATACTTGGGAGAGTCACAGGCAGCAGGGGCCAGGGCCCCTTCCACAGCATCCCCTCTTGCCCCACCATGCCCCACCCTAGAGCATGCCCTCTGGCTTCACAAACCTTCAGGGGAAATTAGCTTTCTAGTTTTGGGACGGTTCCCTCTGACTAGACAGAGGGCCCAGGACAGAATGTATTCACACCCAGGAGCGGCCTTGCAGCCTGGCTCAGAAACAAGGAACAGAGAGGATCCTGAGGCTGACCCATTCCCCACGGACTCCAAGAACGGGGCAGGCCCAGCTGGGCAGCCAGTCCTGACCTAGGCTGCACCCTGCTTGTGTGTGTGTGTGTGTGTGTGTGTGTGTGTGTGTGTGTGTGTGTGTCCCAGGGGACCTCTCCTCCTCCCTCTGAGGCAAAGTGGCCTGCAGGGGCCTCTGCAGAGCATACAGGGAGGTGCTTCCTTCCCTCTGCCCAGTGACCCCAGGGTGGAGCCCTGACACCTCCAGCCTCCCGAAGGGGATAGGGGAGGCCACACCAGAAACACATCCTTCCTTCCGCAGGGCACAGCACGGGCAGATTCTCATCACCTGGGGGCTGCGCCCAGCGTTACTTCTGCCAAACTAGAAGCAGGCAAGGGGGCTCAGAGGGGCGGGCCTTACAGGAATGGAAGCACCACCCCACCCAGCACGGTCTACAGCCTGCATCCCACCTCCATTCCCAGTGACCTCCAACCAAAGGCCAGAGCTGGGCAACCTCTGCCAGCCACTGCCCCTTAGTCCAAGGGGAGGCCTCATTCCAGAACCAGCATCTTCATCTTGTCCTGATGCCCTGCCTGACACCGCAGGCTTCAGACCGGTCTACTGTGGAAAACTGAAAGGTCAGAGGGTGGAGGGCCTCTCCCTCCTGGACACGGAAACTCCTCCCCTCTGCCCCACGCTTTGGCTGGTCAGAACAGTGGCTGCTCATGGAGCTGCCCCTCCCACCTTCAGACCCTCCTCCTCTGCAGGGGTGGGCTGGGGCCCTCCTTCGATACTGATACTTGGTCCGTGGCTTGTGAGTTCTGAGTCCTTGGGGCTGAGACTTGAGTCAGAACCTTCTGGAGCAGTCCACATTTCTCCTCTGTCCCTGGTGAGGACACCAGGCTCTCCGCTTCCTGCCCAGATCTCTGAATGCTCACCTGATCCTCCAAACCCGGCGGGACCTTCCAGGGCCCGCAAGCATCGAGCCTGACCATGCTGCCCCTCGAGTGCCGGCACGCCCACATCAAAGGTGCCCTCTCTTCCCAGAGGCCCTGAGCAGCACCGGGCGCCGCTGTCAGCACAGACATTAGCAGCAGGGCCGCACCACACGTCAACTTGTAAGTATGCGCACACACGTCCGCCAGCCAATAACATTAAGTGTCATTTTAAAAAATGGGTTAAATAAGCGGCATTGCTGAGGACGGCCGTGCAGGGCTGATTATCCCCCATTTGCACGTTCTGGCGGTGGGAAGGCTAGAAGTCTAATGACTGAATTATCGCCCTAATGCCTCTTGCTGGCTGGGAATAATCCCGGGGCAACAGCTGCCGCAGGCCTTTGGCTGCTTTCCTCTAATTGCATCCAGATTAAGGGAGTTGCGGAGGGCGGGGCTTCTCCACCCCCAGCAGCGTCTCCTCCATGGAGCCCTGAATACCCAGGTCAGGGCTTCCGAGGTCCTGGCTGATCTGAGAGGTGCAGGCCTCACTAGGGTCCGGGCCAGCCCATGGGGAGCGTGAGGTGTGAGCAGTGCCCGGCGGGGGTGGCACTTGGTGCGGAGATGCGGCTGATGGGTCTGGGTCAGGTCTTGGGGAGCAACAGAGGTGAGAAGCTGTAGGGCCAGGAGACTCAGAAGGAATGGCTTCTGCAGGACCTTCCTAAGCGAGGGGAGCCCTGGACCTGGCCACCCTCTTCCTCCCTCCCAAACAGCAGCTCAAAGGCACAAGGTATCTAGTGAAATGCAGGGACCGTTCTCCTGGAGAGGGGGAGTGGGGAAGGAGTGCCGAAGCAGGAGTTATTAGGACACAGACTCCCTGGAGTCCCCATTCTTCAGCCCTCCAAATTCTCAGTCTACTGCCACCCGACTGTGCAGAGGGGACACTCAAGTGGCAGGTCCGCCCCCCACCCCTTAACGTTGAGCCCAGCCACATGGCTTGCTGTGGCCCAGGGGAGGGCTGCAGGTGTGCTGTCTGCCGAGGCTTGGGGAGGTACTGGCCGTCTCTCCTTTCCTGCCTTTGGCTCCGCCATGGCTGGTCTGCAGGAGGGACAGAAGAGGCCACAGAGCAGTGCCAGGTCTGACCTCTGCACCAGGAGCATCTCCTGGGACTTGGCAGCCCACTGGCCCCAAACAAACCCAGCCTAGACCGGCAGAACTGCCCCGCCCAGACTGCTGACTCCTGGTCTAGGTCAGTGCTGACTGTTGCAAGCCACCGAGTGCTTCGGGATTCATCACACAGCATGGCTGTGGCAATGGAGAGAACTGGTTTCTTGGGGGGTCGGCAGAAGCTCCAGCCACCTCCCTAACAGACCAGGAGCCAGCCCAGAAAGGCAGCCCTCTCTTCCCAGAAGCAAAGTGGATGAGAAGCCCACCCCACCCCTGTCACAGGACCCCCACTGCTGGACAGTAATGGTCGGTACCCCAGGATCTGGGCACTGATGGGGCTCCAGGAAAGTCTCTCCAAAAGGCTCTTGGACAGACGGACCTGGGAACTTGGGATTGCCTGCTGGAGGACCTGGGCTCATGGAGAAATGAGAAGCTGAGGAGGAAGAGGAGGAGGCCGGTAAGTGGTGTCCTCCTCTTCCCTGCAGAGAAACACGGCTTTGACGTGGCATGGTCCAGCAGTGCCCACCCTTCAGGGAGAAAAGCTTCAAGTGGGAAGAAGCCCCCTGTCCCTGTCCCCATGATGGTTCTCAGCACATCAAGGGGTTTCCCCCCAGAAAGACGCAGTGGAGGATTTCAGGAGAGATTTGGTCTCCCTGCTCAAGGAGTAGCTTTCTGTGCGAATGGCTCAACACGTCTAAGCTGGCTGGAGGCTCTCACGGCAGAGATCGCATGCCCTTGTCTGTCCATCTCTAAATTCCAGAAGGAGCAGCTGACATACAGTCTTTTGGAGGAGGGAGAGTGTGTCGGGAAGGCAGAGTCCTGAGTGCTGGCTCCTTCAATGTGGTCTCTCTCACGCCGGACCACCTGAGAAGCTGACGTGTATATCTGAGTGCACAGCAGAGACTGCAGGCCTTGCAGGGAGGTGAAGAGTCTATCTCCAGGTGGCCTTGTCTCGGCTGGTCAGCTAATATACTGCCACGTCCCTGGGACAAAGCAGATCATCTTCAGAGGCTCTTCCAACACAAACACGCATGCACACAGGGACACACACACACAGCGACCCACTCAAGCCCCAGCTGGCTGCTGTTTTTGGTGGGGGTGACCTTAAACAGTGTCAAGGTCACATAGAAGACCCCCAGCTAAGAAAATGACATCGGATGCTTCTCCAGCAGCCTGAGGCTCAGGCTCCCGGGCAGGCGGGTGGTTCCCTTCATGGCCCAGGAGGACGAAATGTTTAAGCGGATAAACACGACATGCCCCAGCTCCTCAAACCTGACTGCTCTTCGGCTCTTCCACCTCTCCGTCCCCACATCAGTTGGGCTGCTGGGTTTTTTTTAATGGCAGATGTCTTTCCATCGGCATCCCAGTTGCGGCTGGGGAAGCTGTGGGAAGTGTGGCTCACTCAGAGAGCATGAGGGCTCACGAGGAAGTGTGTCTGGCTTGCAGAGATGTCCCTGGACCTGGACGGGACCCCGCTCGGTTCTGCAGCTCTCACCGCTGCTGGGTGAGCGAGGCCGCCTTCTCTCATCTCTGCTCTCCCCATTGCCTGGCAATGCTGTCTGGCTGCCCAAGAGGCTGGAGCAAATCCTGGACGTGCCGAAATCCTCCAGGGCAGCCAGCAGGAGAGCCTGGCCAGCCTGCACCTCAGGCACAGTGGCCATATGTTCCACCACAGCGTTTCAGGAGCTGGCTTGCCTCCAGGTGGCTGCAGGTCTGACTTCTGTCACTTCTGGACCCGAATTTTGTTGCTAATATGAAAAGGTTCCTCTCACATTGCCCAAAAGCATTTTCCTTAGGTTCCCACCGTCCCCTATCCCCTCCACGCCCAGCCCCACCCCCTCCCATGCCCAGGGCCTCCGGGGAGGTCCCCTCAACCCCTGTCCAATGCAGGGGGCCCAACCTATCTGCGGAAGCCGAAGCCGTCCTGCGGCGTCTTTGGGCCCTTCTTGCCTTCCCTCAGGGGCCTGGGAGAAGGCATCTCCACCGTGCCCCCATAGGGACAGCTCTCGGAGCCGGGGTGGAGGCCGGTGCACTCCACGGCAGGCATGCAGCCGCTGTCCCACATGCCGGTCCCACACAGCTTACACAGGTCATGCAGGCTGCAGGGGATCCGGGGCAGGAGGCGGAACTGGTACAGCAAACTCCGCGCCTGCAGAGAGAGGGCAGGAGGTGAGGCGGGGCCGGGGGACAGCCTGGCAGCCCAGGGTCCCCATGGGAGTGGCTGGAGGTGAGGAGGGGCCGGGGGACAGCCTGGCAGCCCAGGGTCCCCGCGGGAGTGGCTGGAAGTGAGGAGGGGCCGGGGGACAGCCTGGCAGCCCAGGGTCCCCGCGGGAGTGGCTGGCAAGGAGCAGCAGCAACAGTCTGCACCGGCGGCTCACTGTGTCCCGGGCTCTCTGCCTGTGACTCCCCCTCACTGGCACGGCGGGGCCCTGGGTCTTAGGGGGCTACAGTGATGGGCTCTAGTCACAGGTGGCTCGAGGTGAGGAAGGCCCCCTGACAGGCTTCATCGGGAGGGTGAACAGGACCACAGCAGCACAGGGCCCGGCCTCGCCCAGCCAAGCCCACCCATCCCTTTGGCAGGCCCCTCTCTGACTCTTTCTCCACCTCCCACATGCTCCACCCCCTCCACCCTGTCCCCCAGCAGCCCCTCAGCTCCTGCAGGATCTTTGTCCTGTGCCGGAGGGCACCACCAACCTTGGGACGCCGCCTTGCTGCCCTGAGGACCACCACAGAGCCAACGGGCAGTGTCTCCAGGAGGAGTCTGGGAAGCGGGGGAGGGGACCAGAGCCCAAGGCCCCCAGAATTCTGGCCACCCCGCCCCCTGGGCCCAGTCTCAGTGTTCCTAGCTCTGGGTTGTAAGCGAGGTGCCCTAGGGTGGGTCAGCCCGGGAATTCCTTCCCTCCTTAGCCAGCGAGGGAGGCTCCTGTGTCAGGGCTGGAACCCCAGGAGAGTGAGAGGGCAGCTGAGGCAACACAGCCAGGTGCCAACACCGACGCCTTGGTGGGGAGCTCCCAGCGCGACGGGAGGGGGCGGGGCCAGCGTCTGGGGTCTGGGGCAGCCTCACCTTCCTGAGCACCAGCTCCCCGTTCATGTGCATGGCCAGGTTTCCGAAGTGCAGGAGCATCTGGTCTGTGGCCAGCTGCTGCTCGATGACGTCATCCCCGTAGATGGCCACGATGGCCACGCAGATGAAAAGGTGGAAGTAGTCTGTCTGCGGAGGCGGGAGAGTTCAGACGCGGGCTCTGACCGAGCCCCAGGCCCTGCCTCCGGGGGAAACTGAGGGCTGAGGCGCCAGCTAGGGCTTCGGGGCAAGGCGTCTGGGCTCAGAGCCCAGCTCTGGGGCCTCGAGGCCCTGGGCAAGCTACATCGCCTCTTTGGCCCTCAGTTTCCCCTCCTGCACATGGGGTCCATCCCGGGACCCACATGCCTGGGCTGCTGTGGTATCCAAAGGGGACGATGCTGAGCTCAGCACCCACAGGCTGCGGCTGCTCTCCTGGGTGGCAGTGTGGGTGGTCTCCATGATGGGAGCCAAGAGCGCCCTTCCTCAGAAGGCCTGGCCTGCGCTCGTGGGGAGGCCTCACTTGTAACAGTCTTCAGCCACAGTGAGTGCGGAAGGCTGGGTCAGAACTCACTCCAGCGGGCTCTGGAATGTGCCTCTGGCAGCCACCCATGGGTCAGCCTGTCCTCCTGGCTCCAGGCCACACCCCCCAAATCATGCCCCAGAGACGACTCTACGGTTTGTGGCTAGAAAGTGGGAAGATCCTAACAGAGCAGGCATAGCAGCTCCCCCACGGGGTGGCTGAAACCACCCCGCTGTCCTTGAGCCTCTCTTCGGGCACCCTTTGAGGACTCCGCTGCCCTCCCTTTAGGCCACCGCTGGGGCCTGCCAGCATCGCGCTGTGCGCAGCAGGAAGCCCGGCCGGGTCCTGACCGCGCATCCTGTGTGCTCTCTGGCCGGGACGCCTCGAGGCGCGCCGCCTTTGATGCACGCGTGTTTCCGGAGGCACAGGAAGGACAGGGGCACCGGGAAGTCCATGTTTAGTCTCCTGACATCGACCACACAAGCCAGCGGAACGGTGTCCCCAGTCCAGGCTGCGCGGAGCACACCATGAGGGCAGAGGCTGTGGGCGACTCCCACGCCCCGGCCTGCTCCGGGAGGGACCGTGCACCAGGCGGCCCCGCTCCTTCCTCTGAACTCCTGACGGTCTTGTTTTGGCTCCAACGGATCCTTTCGCTACGATGTGAACTGTGGCTGGGGTGAGACACGGTGGAGGAGTTCCAGGAAGGTGGACGCCCAGCTTCTCTGGGAGAGGAATGTGGGGAGGGAGAGGGAGGGCCTGCTCTCCACAGGCTGCACGGCACAGGGTTTCAGTGCCCGGGACAGGCGGGCGTGGGCTGGCCAGCCCCACCACACACGGGCAGCAGACGGAGCACCCCGCCTCTTCTCGCTCAGGGGTCGCTGGACAGTTAAAGGCCTCACCTGACAGCAACCTTCCCGTTCCACAGAGCTCGCTCCGGCTCCTTAGCGGCCCAGCCCCACCCCATAATACCGCCAGACTGATCAAGGGGTGGGACCGACTGTGGCTAAGTTCAGCCCATAGTCTGAAAACAACAGAAACTTGCTGTGTGGACTTCCAACAGAATGGCAGGCAACAGAGATGAGGCGCACGTCACACGGGCCCCTGCTGCAATTCCGACTAGATCTCATCACACTGGGACATAGAAGGTGCCCGGGACAGGGCCCACTCGCTGGGCCACGACCTCAGTCCACTCCTAACAGCCTGAACGCAAAGGAATGAGGGAAGCAAATGTGCCACTGGGAAAACCTGTAAGGAGGCACGATTTTTTTTTTTTTTTGGTGGGTCGGGGTGGGGGGAAGCGGCCTTTCAGTCCATCCCTGCCGAGGTTCCCTTTGCTAATGCAGATTGTCCGTCCTGCGCGCCCAGGCGGAGCAGGCTAAGCCAAGAGGGAAACCCGACCCGGGCCGGGGTGAGCCGATCCACGCATGCCAAGGTGGCCCGTGGCACAGCACTCTGTGGCTTCAGACTCGCTTTTATCAGACATCAGCCCCCTGCGGTGTGAGTGCGGACGGGAGGCGCTGACGCAAATGTCTTCCGGCAGATGGGTGTTCTCATCCGTCTTCAGGGTTCTCTGACGGAGGCTGCTGGAGCTGCCATGGTGGAGGGAGCCCGCTCCTGCAACAGGGTCCCGCCCTCCTGGATGCGTCAATGCGAGTTTTTTTAAGAGGCTGATGGATTCAAAGAGACTTGCTTATCTTTTGACATCTCCAGCTTGTCCCTAATTTGGGCGTTAAGGCCATGTGACAGAGCCAGTGCTGTGCTCCAAGGAGAATTTGCTGAGAAGATGCTGGTGACCGTGGACAGAGAGTGGGAGGTGGCGTCACTGACAGGGGCCCTCTGGAGGGGCCGACGGGGAAGTGGAGTCTCAGGCTGGTTCTCTGCACAGGAGGGTGACATTAGCCAGCCCTCATGGCAGGGCGGTCCTGAGGGGGCGGGGCAGTGCCGGCCCCCGCTCGTGGGCACCAGCGTCCCGGGCTGCTGTGGCCTTGCGCAGGCCCCGACGGTGTCACTCACACTGATCGGTTGTGACAGGAGGGAGCTCAGCCCCAGAAAGCGGTAATGAGCGCAGTCAGCGGGCAATTTGCATCGATTTCAGTGACTGGGGAAGCGAGCTTCGAGGTCTGGAGCCGGACTGGAAGGCAGTTGCCTCGTGGGGGCTGATGTGTGGCTGTGGGTGGGGGGTGGCGAGGTGGACAGGGGCAGGGGGCAGGGTGGCCACGGTGGCTCAGGGGCCATGGTCCCAACCTCCCCGGCCCCGGGCCCCTGCCCAGGCTCACCTGGTAGTGCGCCCAGCAGGCCTCCCAGATCCGCAGCGCTTCGGCCTCGGGGAACTCACGCTTGAAGCACAGCAGGAGCCATCGGTGGCAGAAGAGCATCTGCAGGCCGTCCTCGCCCAGCGAGACCAGGTGCTGGTAGAATCGCACGTGCGTCAGCCGCAGCAGCTCCCGCAGGTACAGCTGAGGGCGAGGCCAGCACCCGTTAGCCCGGCCCCTTTCGGGCCTGCTGCCCAGAGGCCCACTCCCAGGGGGGCCCTTTCTCGGGCCTCTCCGACCTGGAAAAGCACACCCGGGGCCTCTGCCTGCTGCACGTGCCTGTCCCCCATTACTTTATTCCACCATGAGAAGTGGCTCACACCTGCCTCTGGCAGTTCCTCCCAGACCTGGCTGTTCCGGAGGCTGTGGTGTGGCCCAGGGTGAGTGCTGTTCCCCAGCATGGCAGAGGCTGAGCAGCCACTACACGGCCAGGAGAGCTCCTCAGCCTCAGTGGACACTTAGGGGCTGTTTCCCACGTCCACCCCTCCTAGTAAGGTGAGTGGGTCATCCAGGGAACCGCCCTCACTCATTTCGGCTCTGCTCATCTATGTGGAAGATCTACCATCTTCCCGAGCTGATGGAGGGCAGGAAGGGGACATGTCTGAGCCCCAGGATGCTGGATTCCTGCCATTAGGGTCAACCTCCCAGTGACGCAGGACAAGATTGGGGCTATTTCTGGCAGCACCTGGCCTCAGGACACTGACTTCATCAATGCCTCTGGAAAATCAATCTCCAGCAGTCAATGAGTCACCCAGCCATGTGCTGCCTTGAGTCGTCAGGGGCGAATGGTTTTGGGCGCTGTGACTGGCTCCCCAGACAACCTGGACGCCTGATGTCACACCCACCGGGTGTGAGGAGTGAGGAGGCTCGGTGAGGGTCAGCCCGCAGCCTGGGGTGGGGGTTAGATCACAGCTGGGCGGTCCTGGGGGAGGGCTCAGGGGCACATGCCTCTTCCCACACCGCTGGCCTATTGTTCCCACGGGAGACTGCGCTGGAGCTGTGCGGCCGCCCTCCGCCCTGTGCCTGCAGCCGGGCCAAGTTCCCCCATGTGGACGATACCCTTGCAGACGCTCCACTCCCACCCCTATGCAGGTGCCTGTGCCTCCCTGCCTGGGCTCCTTTGCCTTCCAATCCTCTCTGTTGGCTTCAGCTCTCCCAGCCTGTCATCAGCCACCCCTAACAGTTAGTCTATAGCAGCGGTCCCCAACCTTTGTGGCACCAGGGACCCGTTTCCTGGAAGACAATTTTCCCATGGACCAGGTAGTGGGAATGGTTTCGGGTTGGAACTGTTCCACCTCACATCATCAGGCATTAGAGTCTCATAAGCAGCACAGTTCACGATAGGGTGCCAGGGTTCGAGCTTCTAGGAGAATCTAACGCAGCTGCTGCTCTGACCGAGGTGGAGCCCAGGCAGGAATGCGCTCTTGCCTGCCCACCGCTCACCTCCTGCTATTCAGCCCAGTTCCTAACAGGCCACCGACCAGTACCAGTTCTCGGCCTGGGGGTGGGGACCCCATTCTATGAGACATGCTCTGTGGCCGCGGGGTGGACCCCATTCTATCAGACACTCTCTGTGTCCTGGGGTGCGGACCCACGTTCTATGAGATGGGCTCTGTAGCCTGGGGGTGGGGACCCTGTTCTGAGACACGCTCCGTGGCTGCAGGGTGGGGACCCTGTTCTATGAGACACGTTCTGTGGCCCAGGCCTGTGAGGCCCTCCATCAGCTCCACCCTCACTACTTGTGATGGGTCTGGTCCAGGAAGACCGGGTCACTCAGTGCCACCACCAGGACTGCTCCGCTCAGCCCAGCCTTAGTGACCCTCAGGGCCAGACCCCATGCACCCTGGAGCTGTCCCCAGCGCAGGGGCCCTCCTGTCCTTATCACGGGCGCCTCCTGCAGTGCCCCTGGCACCCAGTGTCCTCTGCTCACAATGCTGGCTTCCTGACCCAGCGTCTCCCGGCCGGGAGGGTGAGTGTCTTTGCCTGCACCCAGCAGGTAGTTGGTGGACACGGGCGATGTGTGCTGAGAACACTGAGCAGGTGCCCCTGGCTCCGTCCCTGCGCCGCACAATGGCCCTTGGGCCCTGCCTCATCCGGCTGGGCTCAGCCCCACCACCAACACTCAGAGCTTCCTGATCTACATAGGGATGGTCCTTTTGAGGAGGCCTTGATGGGAGAGGTGTCAGCTGGGCACCCCAGGGAAGGAGTGGGATGTGAGGACTGCCTCTGCGGGCCCCACAGGGACATCAGGAGCCCCTCCTCTCCCTATCCCCACTCAGAAGCCCTGGCTGTGTTACTCCTGCAGGGAGCATTTTATAAGTGGAGGGAGGGCTGGGTGTGATGGGGCCTCCCCTTCCTTCCCAGCCAGGGAGTTCGGGCCACGCTGTCACGTATTGGGGATTGGGGGCGGCCACAAGAGCCACCCATACCATGTGGCCTCTGGACCTGCAGGGAGTTGGGGGGCATCCCCAGAGATCCAGGGCAGACACCCATATCCCACAGCAAGTCCTATCCTGGCTTTTCCGCTGCCCACTGACCCACAGCAGCCAAGCCACATGTCACCACGGCAACCCCAGCTGCCAGGGGAGAGGCAGCCTGGACCCTCGAGCCCTTGGATACACCTGTCCCCATGAGCCTCACCAACTGTTTCTCCATGTCCTCGTCCCGAGGGGAGCTGACAAAGATCGTGTTCTGCATCAAACCCACAAAGCACCAGAAGGTGTCCGATTCGTCCAGGACCTCGGCCAAGATGGGCGCCACCAGGTCCGACATGCCCTGGGAGTAGCCGACGGCTGGGTTGTAGACGGCATAGTTCAGCAGGATCCTCCTGGGAGGCGGTGGAGACAGCAGAGGCTGGGGATGACCCTCACTGTGGCACACTGCCCACCCCACAGAACCCTTGGCCATGGACCCTGCCTGCCCCTGCCTTCCTTCATCTCGGTGGAAGGCAGCTCTGCCACCATCTCAGAGCGACCCTTGCTTTGCAAAGGTAATGGCCTGGCCAGGCGAGGTGGCTCATGCCTATAATCCCAGCACTTTGGGAGGCCGAGGTGGGCAGATCACCTGAGGTCAGGAGTTCGAGACTAGCCTGGACAACATGGTGACACCCCATCTCCACTAAAAATACAAAAATTAGCTGGGCGTGGTGGGGTGCACACCTGTAATCCCAGGTATTTGGGAGGCTGAAGCAGGAGAATCGCTTGAACCCAGGAGGTGGGGGTTGCAGTGAGCTGAGATCACACCACCGTACTCCAGTCTGGGTGACAGAGCAACACTCCATCTCAGAAAAAAAAGCAATAGCCTGCCATTAGCTGCTGCCTAGGCCCAGAACCTTGAGAGCAGGAGTAAGGGGGACACGGGTCTGATTTTCAGAAGGGTGGACTGCCTGTAGCAAGGGGTGGGCTGGCAGGGACATTTCTGTGGGCTGTTAGTTTTGTGCAATTATTTGCTAGGCTGCAGCAGAATGTCACAGATGCCAGCCTCTGACTCTGTGTGGCTGTATGACTGCAGGACCACCCATGGGGAGGTGGAGGGGGTGCATGGGGAAGCTGGTTCATGGTTGGTATGAGCCAAGCAAGGACAGGCTTGGTGGTGCCCAGGGGATGGGGGGCTCTGTGGGCCCCACTGGTTTCCCTGGGATGCTGTGGCTCTGAGACGCCGACTCAAGTAGCTCATGAGTAGCGTGTCCTTCACTTCTGGGGCTTCGATGTCTGAACCTGGAAGAGAGCCCCTGCAGAAAGTCGCTGGGGGCTCATCCACTTCCCAGAGGGGTCAGGCGAACTTGCAGACTTGCCGATGGGGAGTGGGCTGGCTGGGGGGACTACCTCATGCTCTCCACGTTGGGATTGTCGTCCCCTCGGAAGAACTGGTTGCTCCGATCGGTCCGGACCACGTCTTTGTCCACGGTGAACTGCACGTTGCGCCAGAATGCTCTGTGCTCCTCGGGGGGCATTGAGAGCCTGTGTGGAGCAGAGCACCCAGCTGGGGTCAGCGGGTGGCACCTGGAGGCATCGTGTGGGGACACACTCCGGGAAGCCGCCTTCCCTCCCAACCCCGTTCCCTGGATGGGAGCTGGGTGGCTGCTGCCAGCTACAGGCTCTCCCTGACGCAGCGGATGGGTGGCGTGCATCCAAGGCTGTCCCCGGTATTAACTCAGCCTCACAGGCTCCAGCGTCCCAGAGAAGAGAGAAGGTTGCAGCCCAATGGATAATGAGGCCTTGGCCCCGAACCAGCGTTCTGGAGGGAAGCTGAGCACAGGCCAGGGGCTTCACCCAGTCCCAGCCTCCTGGAGAGAGAGCTAACCCCAGCCCTGGGTGAGCAGACCCCAAGTGGGACACGGCGGTCCCGCCTCCGGAGGCCTTCACCCCGCGAGGCCCTGCTCTAGCCTTCAGCTGTGGGACATCAGCGCCGAGTGAAGTCTGTTGAAGGAGAATTCTAAAACCTTGACATGTGAGCTAACGAGCCCGCAGTTCCGAGGCCCGAGTGCTCGGTTTAATGACTGCACTTATCCCACCCTATCACTCACGTTCCTGGGAGACCCATTTCTGAAAGAAACTATGGGTCACGGAACATATTATCAATGCTGAATTGCACCTCAAATTGCCTTTTCAAATGACATTTTCCTCCGCGGCTGGGCGGGGCGGCCGGGTTACCTCCTCCGCTGGATGTCAGAGTACTCCTTCCGCTTCTGCAGCCGCAGCGCCTCCCGCTCCTCCGACGTGGACTCGTGGCTGTAATAGTGCAGCAGGAACGGCCAGACCTCCCCCCGGATTGACACATCAATGCCGCCAAAGAAAATGGCCTGGAGGAAGCGGCAAAAGTTGGGGGGGGATAAAACAGGGCGGCTCAAAGAACCCCCAAATCCCCAGAGATGTGTGTTTTGGTGGCTTTGGTGCGCCTTGATTCAGATCTCTGCAATTTGCATGTTTACAAGGGGAAAGCGGTGGCCTTCAATTCCCATACAGGACACAAACCCGGCTCATTTCAATGTCAATGCCCCCCCTGGGGTGGCGCTCAGATTAACGTGTCGTTCTCACGTCGTGGCCTAATCCCTGGTTTTGGAAATGCTGCATTTCACTGCAAACCCTTCTATGCAGGCTGACACGGTATCCCCCCAAACCCGAGAGGGAGGTGTTCTTTTTTTTTTTCAACACAGCGGCTTTGATTGCTTTATCGGTGTGTTCACAGAGAACCTCACACAAGAAAACGGGGCCCTCCCGAGGAGGTGGCCCGTGGGTGCGGGCGGGCGGCCAGGCCCTGGCCCTCCCTCCCTCTCACTGCCTGGTTCCTGGCCGGCTCTCCGTAGGGCCAGCCGCGCGGGCCCGGGCCTCACCTTCCGAAGCTTGTACTCCTCCTCCACCTGGCCCAGCTCGTTCAGGTGGCTGAGCCAGGCGGAGACGTCCAGCCTCTTGTACATGCTCTCCTCCGGATGCGTCTCGGAGGACGGCAGCTTGGGGCGGCGGATGGAGAACTGCATGCAGGTCTTTTCGGGGGCGACCTGCTGGACGGGAGGAAAACTGGGCAAAGGTCAGGATCTCAGCCGCCAGCCTCAGAGGCCAGCAGTGCTTTTCCCAGGATGAAAAGCCTCTCTCTCTTCTGAAAGGAGGGCAAGGGCCGTCCCCTGCATACAAACCCCTAAATGGCGCGCGTAATTAGCTGCAATTAAAATGAAAATACCTTCATCTTAAAATCGGTTTCCCTCTGCGGCTCCCTTGTCCCCGGCCCACTGTGCCACCGCCCCCCACTCTCTCCAGCGCCAGCCGCAAAAACGGAATTAATGCCTCGTTGGGCCTAACTTCCCTCTGCCGGGAGGGCCTGCAATGAATTACATGTGATTGGCCACATACAAAGGGATGGCTGTTCTGTGACCGGGAGCCAGCCTGTCAGATTGTCTCCGCGCGCAGTCACGAATCCAGGGCAAAACTGCAGCTGACATTTAATTCAAAAATCAAAGGTTGTTCAATGCAGGGGGAGAGAAAGCCATGCTACTGTAATAAGGGGAGCCAGCAGGAGGCTCTGTGGGAAGGAAGGGAATTTTAAAGTCAGCCCCCTTTCTAATAAGCACATACAGTATCTTAAACAGATAATTAAAGAGCTCTTATTACATTTGTACGTAGATTGAGGAAAATATGGCAGGAAGTCTTGTCAAAACATGAATTTTCAAGTGCAGAGCACTGACTTTACAGAGAGCCCTGGGCACAGGTTTCAAGCCCCAAGTTGCCACTCTGATGGCCGAAAGCTACTGTGGGTCACACCCCGTAAGCCCCTGGGCCCGGGGCCCCCAGACACAGGACCCAGGCCGGAAGCGGGCCCCCGTGGGGGGGGGGGGACATGCTGGGGCGGTGCGCTGGGCTACCTGGTCTTGGAGCCGCATTTCCGTGCAGTATTGCCACTGCTGGAACACGTCAGACAGCTTGTCCAGGCCTCCGTGGTGGAAGTGGAAGACCTTGTACTGGCTCTCTCTGCTGGCGACGACCAGCTGGCCACTGGTGCAGGCCTCGTCGCTGAAGGGCCATCGGAGGGGGGAGAGGGAAGCCCGATGAATATGTAAACACGGGGTTTTTATTTCCAAGTATAATCAGAGGCCACTGTCGCCAAGCTCAGAAGCAGGAAACAGCGCGTCCCAGTGGAGCTGGCTGCTAGTGGGCGGGGGCAGAACTAGGCCCGAACACATCACCCCCTTTGCTGAAGATGGCAAAACTGCTCCTTCCTGGGGGGCCCTGGGGCTCCTCTCTGGAGTCCTGCCAGAATGGCCCTCTCCCCACGACCACCTGCCCTGCTACATGGTCCCCGCCGTCCCCGGGGGCCTGGGGGGTGGATGCTGGGTGCCTGGAATCCAGTTTTGAGCCCGGTGGGGCGTGTGCTAAGAGAACCTCCTGGGAACAGACCTCCTCCGTCGCGTGTGGGTGGAACTCTGGGAGAACCCTCCAGGGAAACTCACTAAACATCCGTCAGTGCTGTCAGCCCAACCCCGGCTGCCCTTAGATGAAAGGCTGGAATGTGGCTCTGGGTCTGGGAACCCCCCCCAGCTTCTGGACACGCCGGCTTCTTCTAAGCCCGGGCCTCTCACTGGAGCTGTCTGTGGCTGGGCGGTCCTGACTACAGGGAGGAGGATCTGATGTGGGGACGATGACAGGAAAAGAGGCATCGCCCACCCGTCACAAAAGGAAGTGTGCCTCCGTCCGCAAAGCCACGGCCCGGCCCGCAGAGGTGGCGGAGCTCCAGAGCATCTCCCCGGGATCAGAGTGGCCTGCAGCTGCTACTCTCTGCCCTGGTTTGGTTTCTTCTCCCAAGCCAGAGTGGGAAGCCACCACGAGCTACGTCACTCGGAAGGCAGGGGAATGAGTCTGGAGCTCGCCAGTTCTGAGAACCGCCGGGGAGCCGCAGCAGGGAACCACTGCCCGCGAGACCAGTGGGGGAGGAAGAAAGACACCTGTGAAGACTCCAGCCGGGGCCCTGTGTCCCCACGCCGCGCACTGCAAAGCCCAGGCTGCTGGGGAAAACACACATGGCCAACTCCCAGGAGGCACCCAGAGACGCTTCCTACCTGAAGAAAAGGCGGAGGGAGCGCATGTGGCCCAGGTCCACACGGAACACGCCGCAGATCTGCTCCAGGGCGCACACCCGCTGTGGCTCGTCCCAGCGCGGGGTCTGCAGGAGGCCGTTGCTGTCCGGGAAGCGCAGGCTGGCGTCGGAGCTGGACGGGGGGCTGGTGGAACGTTGGTCCTGTGATCACGACCACAGGCTTCCCTGCCCACACCACCCAGAGGGGGCCGGGTGGCATGGGGAAGCCCTTTAAACCTACACACCAAACTTAAACACACACACAGGCACAGCTGAATGTGCCCAGTAAACGCCTGTGAATGAATGAATGAATGAATGAATGAACCCCACTGCACAATTCCATTTCCACTTGGATGGGAAAGCATTTTCATGATCAAATTCCATTCCACTTCAATAGAGGCAGTAAGTCATCATCGTCCTGACAGCCAAGGTCACACTGACTGGGGTTCCTCGCTTGTGACCCTGGCCAAGCTACCAAGCCTCTCTCAGCCTTCATGTGCATAAAGGGAGGAAATCAGTGAGGCTTGGTTTGCCTACAGCACGGGGCTTCTGCCATGGTTTCCACAGGCTCGTTCGGTTCGTTTGGTAAGAAAACGTTTGGGTTATCAGTGAGTGTTGCTAATAACATCATGAGCACTTATTAAAGCACTGACTTATGGGCCTGGCCCTGGGCTAATGCTTCTCAGGCGCTTTTATTGCGTATAATCTTCACAATAATCCTCTGAAATGAATAGTGGTATTACGCCATCGTAAAGAAGAGGCAACTGAGGCCCAGAGAGGTTAAGTAACTTGCCCAAGGTCACGCAGCTGGCAAGTGGTGGAGCTGAGATTAGAACCCAAGCTTTGTGGCTCATGTTCTCACCAGCATGTTGTGCAGCCTCTATGCCTGCAATTCAGCAGTACAACCCCGTTTATTCTATTACGTTTTATGACTTTGTTACATTCCAAATCATGAAATATTTTATTATACGGATTCAGCCACGCCACAGGTTAAATCCTGTCTCTTGAGATTTTTTTTTTTTTGAGACAGAGTCTTGCTCTGTCACCCAGGCTGGAGTGCAGTGGTGCAATCTCGGCTCACTGCAACCTCCGCCTCCAGGGTTCAAGCAATTCTCCTGTTTCAGCCTCTCGAGTAGCTGGGATGACAGGTGTCCGCCACCACACCTGGGTAATTTTTGTATTTTTTAGTAGAGATGGGGTTTCCCCATGTCGACCAGGCTGGTCTTGAACTGACCTCAGGTGATCCACCTGCCTTGTGGTCCCAAAGTGCTGGGATTACAGGCATGAGCCACTGTGCCCGGCCTCTTGAGATTTAATAGTAATATCTAACAAATGCCTGCTAAAATAAAACCAGAGTGAAGGCAGGACTCGGTTCTGGACCCCAGCTGCTGCAACCCCGGAGACCCGGCTGCCCTCGCTGCGCCTGCCTTCCTGTTTGAGCTCAGAACGGAAAGTGTCGGAGGTGATCAATCCAGGCGCTTCCTCCTCCAGGGAGCACCAGGTCTAAGTGAAGCTCCTTTGGAGGCTTCCAGCACAATCCCTCCCCACTTGCACCTTGCAAGGAGAAAGACTGGCCTTTCTAGAACTCTCTGCTGCATCAGGAACAGCACTGGCCCTGTGCTGTGGTAGATGGCCTTTCTCCCCCTCCTGCCTAAGGAAGTCAGCACGGCAGGTCCTCCCACTGCTGCGGCCCTGAGCTCTCGAGGAAACCGAGTCAGGTAAAACTAGATCAGAGATGGTTACGTGGGTCCATCACCCGAACTGCCGTGGCTGCACCGTGGACGGACCCAGAAGGCCGAGGGCACTTTGGAATCGTTGCTCAAAACAGGGCAGGTCTCAGGTCTGAGGCCGGCCCCACCGCACCCATGGATGCCGCCTTTCATAATCTGCTCATTGAACTGTGGGGCTGCTGTGGCTGGAGAGCCACTGCCCCGAGTGCTGCCTGCCGGCCCCACCCACCGAGTGGGGCCAACAGAGGGTGGCATCCTTTCCAGCCTCCTCTCCCAGCCTTCTTACCACACCCAGCAGCAGACTCCCCCAAAGCTGCACGTCCCTCCCGGCACACTGGGTCCTGTCCCCCCTACAGGGCAGGCCAGGGTCTCCAGAAACCAGCCGCAACACAGAGACTCACTTTGGCAGTCACAGGTGGAAGGCCCCCTCCCTGCTGCCGTGGCCAGAGACTGGTCCTTTGGAGGGTCAGAGATAGTTCCACACCAGGCCAGAGACCCGGACACGGGGACCACCACACGCCTCCCCAGTAACATGCCTGCAGGCAGATGCTGGCTTAAACCCTCTCACAGCCCCTTAGGGGCAAATTATTTGCGTTAATTAATTGACTGATTTATGAATTCAAGACACTGCTTGGGACCTACAGCTGGGGTTCCATAAGCTCCAACTAGGGCAAAGGTGATGGACGCCTCAGTTTGCTTTAACTGGGGTACGTCCGGCAGGCACCGCCCTGCGTGGTGCCCCCCAAGGCCGGCCGCTGTGCCGTGGGGGTCGCATCGTCTCTTCATCCTCAGCTCCCAGCCCTGGCTTGGTGCAGAACACGCAGCCATCGACTGCTCACGCCTGAAGTGAAAATGCAATGTGTCTGGGAATTCTGAAGTCATCGAAAAAAAATTCTTAAAGAAAATAAACTACAGGGAAAATGAAATATGTCTAGTGTTTTATTTTTCCTTATCTTTCTACACACGTAAAGCAATTTGGTTTTAAGAATATTCATATATGCTGCAAATAATGTGGCTTGTTCATAAAATTATGTGATGCATTGAAACCAAAAGGGTGGGTTTTTCAGGCAGTAACTCCCCATGATGCCATTAACTTAAAAATGCCTCATACACAAAACCAGAAGATGTTCAGCTTTAAGAGACGTAGCAGTTCTTCATTTCTACCATTTACTGAGGATCACCAAAATGTAAAAGCAGTGATGAAAAACCAGCAGTGTCACTGCAAACACAGAGGATGGTTCTCTCTCCACCACAGCAAACTATGCCGTATCAGCCACGGAGACTAGATTTGAAATGTCCTCAATTCTTCACCGCTCATGTTATCAAGGGTAGCGCCTGTCTCTCCAGGCCTGAATCTGGGGGGGCCTTGCTTTGACCAACAGAATGTGGCAAACACGGTGTCAGGTGAGCTCTGAGGCCTGGGCGGCCCCTCACTCTCCCTCTTGGGACCATGTAGGTGAGACAGACAGACGAGAGCTCATGAAAGAGACACGAAACTGGCAGTCAATGCCAGAGCCCGACACCTGTCAATGGAGCCATTCCAGACCCTCCACCCCCCCGAGCCTCCGCCCTCCCACGCCTCCCGGTGGCTGCAGCAACCTGAGTGAACCCCAGGGAGCACAGCAGAACAGCCTGTCCAAGCCCAGCCCGACCCGAAGGCCTGTGAGCGTTTTTGTTGTTGTTTTGGTTTGGTTTTTTGTTTGTTTTTTAAAAAAAAAGACAGGGTCTCTCTGTATCCCCCTCGCTGAAATACAGTGGTGCAAACACAACTCACTGCAGCCTCAGCCTCCCGGGCTCAAGCGAGGCTCCAGCCTCAACCTCCCAAGTCGCTGGGACTACATTCTCTCACCACCACACTCGACTAATTTTTGTATTTTTTAGAGACGGGGTTTTGCCATGTTGCCCAGGCTGGTCTCGAACTCTTGAGCTCAAGCGATCCGTCCGCCTTGGCCTCCCAAAGTGCTGGGATTACCCGCATAAGCCACCACGCCCGGCCTGCTGGTTGCTTTAAGTTGCTAAGTTTGGGGGTGGTTTATTTCACAGCAATAGATCATTGACACATGGACACATGCAGAACACTCAGGCTCTCAGGAAAAGCTTGAGGCGGGGAAGAAACCTTCAAACATATGGAGCGGTGGTTCTCAGGGTTGAGACGCCAGGGCCAGATTTTAACGCTGTTTAAAATACCCAGACCGCTAACTTTTTGCCCTGAGCCTTTCGAGTTGGCTGAACAAGAAGTCGAAGGGAACCCAGCTGTAGGTCCCAAGCACAGCGTCTTGAATTCATGAATCTATCAATTAATTAATGCAAATAATTTGCCCCTAAGGGGCTGTGAGAGGGTTTAAGCCAACTTCCGCCTCGAGGCGCACTGCTGGGGGAGGCGTGTGGTGGCCGCCGTGTCCGGGACACTTGCCTGGTTAGAAATTGGCTCTGGCCCTCCCAACGACCAGTCTTCTCTGGCCACAGCAGCGGGGAGGGGGCCTTCCACCCGTGACTGCCAAAGCGAGTCTCTGTGTTGTGTCTGGTTTCTGGAGACCTTGGTCTGCCCCGAAGAGTGAGCAGGACACAGTGTGCCGGGAGGGACGTGCAGGCATCGCAGGATATTGCAAGAGTGAGCAGGGTGTGTTCAGTGGTTCAGTGTGCTGGTGAGGATGGGAGACGAGGCCGGAAAGAAAGCCACCCTTTGGTGGTCCCCCATAACTGCCAAAACTTGGAAGCCACCAAGATGGCCTTTGGTAGTGAATGGATAAGTTTAAATAACAGTGGTGCAGCCAGATGCGGTCGCTCACACCTGTGATCCCAGCACTTTGGGAGGCCGACATGGGGGGATCATAGGTCAGAAGTTAGAGACCAGCCTGACCAACGTGGTGAATCCCCGTCTCAACTAAAAATACAAAAATTAGCCAGGTGTGGTAGAACATGCCTGTAATCCCAGCTACTCAGGAGGCTGAGGCAGGAGAATCGCTTGAACCTGGGGGGTGGAGACTGCAGTGAGCCAAGATCGTGCCACTGCACTCCAGCCTGGGCAACAAGAGCAAGACTCCGTCTCAAAAAAATAAATAAATAAAAATAAAAATAACTGTGGTGCAGCTAGGCAAGGGAATATATTATTCATCGTTAGAAAGAAATGAGCTGTCAAGCTGTGAGGCAACACGAGGGAGTGTCACCGCATCTTAGAAGGGGTTTGCTAAGGGAAGGGATCCAGCATGAAAAGCTGCACTCTGTGGAATTCCAACTCCAGGGCACTCTGGAAAATGCAAAACCATGGAGACAGTGACAAGACCAGTGGCTTCCAGGAGCTGGAGGGGAGGGAGGACGGTGAAGCGTGGAGAACTTCTAGGGCGGTGACACACTGGCATGACACCAGTGGTCACGGTGACCCGTGTCATTATACATTTGTGCAGACCCATAGGAT